TAGTTTCTGCCTGCCCTAAAGGGAGACAGGTGTGGCAGATATGTATGCAGGTATGTATGTTAAATTAGCGAAATTTGTTCAACCTAAGTGACGTGTTTACAAACGACCGGCATTTTTTTATAATTTATATACATATCAGTTGGTTTTATTTTGTTTATTTTTTAGTCATGACCTTTTTAATATTTAATACAGTGAAGATTAGATTATTATAGCTTTTGCATGGGCCATTGGCTTTGAAAATGACCTCAAAGGAATTTATTCAGCTGTTCACGTTATTATTGACCTTTTTATATTGATTGTGCAAATTATCACTAATCATCAATTAGATGTGCAGTGGTCAAAGGTCATGTGATGATTGATCAAAATTGTAAAATTTATTGACAATTTGATTGCTATATTATTATATGAGCAGTTAACTTTCCACTGCTGTATATAGGCTTTTAATAGAAGGGAAGTTTTGCTAGTTGTTACCATGTTTGGCAGGCGGGTTGGCAACTACAGTTAAGCTTTTAGTGATGGTTTAAAAGGGATGCTGCTATCCATGCCTTGATCAATCAGTTCCCTTAATTACTTTTTACGACACCCATGGAAAAGGAAGAGGTGGTTCATTCTATGTCGGATCATATATATATATATATATATATATATATATATATATATATATATATATATATATATATATATATATATATATATATATATATTGATACCGAAATATATATACATAATATTTCGGTATCAATATAAACTAGTTTTTATTTTATTTTTTATTACAATTTTGAATGATAGTTTACATGTAATTTTACGTCAGTTAAATAAGGTATTATTATAGTATTGCCTGTATTTATAAAAATAATATTAATGTAGACAAATGTTTAAATATTGCATTCTAGGCAATATATAAAATAGATGAACTTTTTGACCATAAGGTCAAGGAGGCAATGCTAACAGGAAATTATCATAAACGAAATGTCAGACGATAAAAACCGAGAAAACATATATCATTTAGACTAGTTGTTGTCGTGTGACTTTGGTTGAGAATGCTATAAAAAATTCTTCCATTTTTAACAAACTTCAAAAAGGACATATTTCTTAATTTTACTGTATTTCTTAATCGACTTCAAAAAGTTCTAATTTATTTTTTGTGTTTCATTGTCATATTTGTAAACCAATTTTCATGATTCTATTTCGTTTAATTCCGTTTTGGTGACATACGAATTTTGTTGAAATTAAAATACGAATTGATAAATATACTGATTTTAATTGTTATTTTTTTATAAAAAAAAAAAAAAGAAAAACTAAGGTGGACTACCTGATGGAATGTGGTAACATAACCATCGATTATAGATAAAATATAAAGAATCAACAGTCTGTATATGTAATTGGCCTTAAAAAAATTACTTTAATATTACAGTTTGGAAAGAATAAAGAATATTATATTTATTACGACGAGATATTAGTATACTATGTTATATCCATGGTACTGTTCATATCTATAGGCAATAGTCATCACCAGGTGGGCCATCAGCTTGTTTGACATTTTAAATTTCATAAAAAATATCATAGGTCGAATTATCTGCGTGAGATGGTCTTAACGGTCACATAATAAAGATACGAATGAGCTCAATGACTCCTGAATCATCGAAGAAAGAAGAAGAAAGTCTATTTCAATCGAGGTTAATAAAAATGTAAACAAATGAATAATTATCCTAATATAAGATCAAGATAATAAGATCGTTTGCTGACGTCTATTAGTAGTAGAACTGTCCGTGTGGTCCCGGCATAGAATAGGTCACCCCATCCATTTCTGTAGGTGTTGTAAAGAGGTAAAGAGAAACTAAAGATCTTAATGGTAAAGCGATAATATATATATATATATATATATATATATATATATATATATATATATATATATTATCGCTTTTCGAGAGAGAGAAAGAGAGATATACTAAGAGATGAGCAGCAGGGTTCCTACCCTGCTACCCATCTCTTAGTAGTAGTACAGTTTAAGAGGGTTTAAAACATCTCTAAAAGCCTAAGTGCGGTTGCCAACCTGCCTGCCAAGCGCGTCAGCTATTGCCAAAACTCCCCTTATTGGGAAGGCTTATGTTCAGCAGTGAATAATTAACGGCTAAAATGATGATAATGATCATAGCGAGAAGCACAAATAAAAGCTCGATTAATCAATTGAATATTACGATTTTTTATTAATTTACGGTAATAAGTTTATTACCGTAAATTAATAAAAAAGTATGTTAAGTTTGGGAACATAACGAATAATCAATTAAATATCTTAGATTTGTACTTAAAAAAAAATACACATAATTATAACATTTTTACCTTTCAAATAAGAGTTTCATTTACCTATTTGTTGCTTTTTACATTGAAAATACAAAGTCTTTTTAATGACTAAGAATTGTAATTTTGAATCATTAAAAATACCTGCAGTTTCTATCCCCTAATATATGAAAAATGAAATGGAATTATTTAACGAGCAATCAAATTATATCATGGACAACTCAAGGTACTTAATAATAAACTGGTTTTTGATTCACATTCTCATTTTTTCGTTTTTTGGTATTCTCCTAAATTGTAGCTATGAAATTCGATTTATGTATTTAGATCAAATTATTTGAATATACATTCGATTGTTTACGGTATTTACCATAAATAGAGTGGATGAGTGTTAAAATTGATTTTTGAATTCGGTATGTGTGGTGATAGAGTAATAAGGCAGTAATATCTAACTGCTGGTTTTCATTTCTAGTATGTAGTAAACAGGGATAACTGAAGGAATCTGTGAATGTCGTAAGAGGTGACAGCGGCGTTCCTCTTAAAATATCAACAAAACCTAACTGCGATTGCAAACCCGCCCGTTAAACATGGCAATTACTGGCAAAATCATTCTTATAGAGAAAGCCTATATTTAACAGAGGACAGTAACGACTAATATCATCATCACCATCAATATTATATTAATAATCATAATTTAATTCTATATAAACCCCTTTTAAACCTCTTAAACAAGTATAAATTCTGATAAATAATAATGTGCAAAAAGTATTTTAATTTAGCAAATCATAATTTTATATATTATAATAATTTTATATTAAAAATAAATTTAATAGAATTTAGATTGTATTTTTGAAAATATTTTATTACTAACACCAAAATAAAGTATTTTTGTAAATTATCGAAATTCTAACTAAAAAATTTCATTTGTTAAAAAATTTTCATTGTGAAGGAGATTTAAAATTATAAGATATTTATATAAAAAAAGAGGCTGGTTGACTTCCTAGCGATACACACAGATGTTCAAAAGCGACAAAATACCTTTAATCTCCTCTATTTGATAAACAGATCGGATTTTTTAACCTTGAATATAATTAAGCAGGCACATCCCGAACCTAACGTTCACTAATACTAGTATTGCATAAATTTATACAAAATGTTAGATACAATAATAAGAATATTATATAGTTCATAGTCAAAGATTATGATATGATATAGAATGTATTTTTTTTTCTGGACGCCAGAATAGATACAACTAAAAAATGGATAGGAAAAAAAAAGAATAAAATATATGTTACATGACCTATACTATAAATTAATATGTGTGTGCCTAACTGGTATTTAAATAAAAATAACATATATAAAACAGACTAGCATTATTCACTATTAATTAATTGTTAAAAAAATCATGTTTTACAATATACAAAACAAGACAGCCATAGCACGTCAGCTGGCTACCAATTTTCATTAGTTATGGAGGTACAGTAAATACAAGAATTATTCTTTCTATGGAATCAACTTGAATAATTATGCCACTATTTGCCCGTTTTCAGTCTAATCACCACAATAATAGTAATTTCAGAAGATTGAAAATTTGAATATGGAATTTAATTTAAATTAATGTACTGTGCATATTATACGCAATAAATGGAGTTTATGTATGTATTTTTCTATGTTACGGCGAATAGTGTATGGTAATTTATATGCAGAAATCAACAAATCTGCCAAATTATTATTTATTCTTTTAAATATGATGATGCAATAAATGACCATAATTTATTATTTTTGTCATGAACATAATTTTATATGAAATCATTTACCTAACAAAATGCATATGAATGAAGATGAAAAAACTTTATTAAATGTTATGATTGTCTAACATTTTGCAATAATTATTATATTTGTGTATTTTTTGAAGTAATTTTAATTTGAAATATAATCTTGTGATAATTGTTATTATTATTATTCCATAATATAAAATATTGAATAAATTATGATTAAATATTGTGAAATAGAATATATAAATAAATTAATGTTCTGTCATGGATAAAATATAATAATTAAATCGATTATCACCATCATCATTTATAAAGCCATCTGTTGTCTACCGCTAACATAGGACTCCTCATAAACTGTTTAATATTTGAATGCATAATCGAAATATTAGCACAGAAGGAGACTTTGTACAAAAGTCGTTTGCTGTCCTATTCGTGTTTCTACCGTGAAGCAGTTGTGTTAGCATGGCTGTGTTTCAGTTTGAAGGGTGGGATATGGCGTGAATTTACAAGGTACAGAAGAATAACACCTGAGTCCTCAGGAATGGCAACGCTTGGGGGGTATCATGGGCGAAACAGTATACTTTGTTATGTCCATGGCACTGCTCATGTCTATAGACAACGGTTACCACTTTCCACCAGGTGGGCCGTCAGCTTGATTGCATTCTAAGTTGTATAAAAAAAACACTTATACAAATGTATATGTATTATCTCTCGTACTTAGGTATTACTTTATTTGATATTTTATATCACTATATTTTATATTGTATTAGTTAGAGAAGGTAGATTTAAATCAGTATGCAGGAGAATTTGAACTATTCGATGGCTTAGATGTTTTGTTGAATAGTTATAGGAAGTGTCCAGGTAGTCACAGTTGTGTGCATATATTGGTATATAATCTATGACAAATAGACTAGACGAGACAAGTTGATAATATAAAAATATTCTCATCTCTATTCTGACCACGGCTATATAAGAACGTAGATGGAATATCATCAACAGACTGTCACTGCCGTGTAAACTCCACACACAAAATGGTAAGATTCAGTTCAGCTTATTAATTAGCATTTGATGACCCTTAGACTGCAATGTTTGATCCGGGTTCAATTCTTGGTCAGAATATTCTGGCAATTAGTCGTAAGAAAATAAAAATTAAATAACTTAATTAAAAAATTACTCCCTTTTGAAAAAATATCTTTTTCTTTGTATAATTAACTTTAGAGGATAATGCTTTAAGACTAACAAAACGTTGTCTTTATTATATAAAAATAACTCAATAATATTAATCACTCACGTTTCTGCTGTGAAGCAGCTATGCTTGCATTGCTGTGTTTCGGTTTGAAGGGTGGGGTATGACGATTAAAATATAGGGTACAGTAGCTAAATCCCATAGTTCTTAGGAATAGCAACGTATGAAAGATACCATGGGTGTCACTGTGTATTTTGTGATATCAATAGTATATGTCTATAGGTAATGTTTACAACTTTATATTAGACTAGCAGCCCGTCCCAGATTCGCACGGGTGGACATTTTTACATTTTGAAAAGTGGCCATTAAGGCTGTACACGCGATGGAAGCTTAAAAATGGAGCAATTTCACCCGTTTTCCCAACATTTCCCTTCACTGCTCTGCTCCTATTGATCGTATCGTAATGAAAAGTATACTATAACCTGACCAGGAGTATGAAGAATAATTGTATCAAGTTTCGTTAAAATCCGTGGATTTTTTATTTTTTCTATAACGAACATACAGACAGATAGATAGACAAAAATTTTACTGATTGCATTTTTGGCATCAGTATCGATCACTAATCACCCCCTGGTAGTTATTTTGGAAATATATTTAATGTACAGAATTGACCTCTCTACAGATTTATTATAAAGTATATATAAGTAGATAGACGAGGCTTTAGCTAGTTTGCTATTCTAAGTATTATAAAAAAAAAAATTATATTTTTGATTGATCAGCCAGTTTTATAATAACAATGCTCTCAAAACACATTCTTTTTTCAGAAATTCTTAATAATCCTCGCTGTTGCGTTGGTCAGCGCCCATGCAGACGTCTCCCACGTTGTCAGATCTGGATCTAGTTCTGGTGACGATTCATCCGCTACGGTCCTCAAGTCCGGTTATGACGTCAGTCCTGAGGGTAGTTTCCAGTATGAATACGAGACGTCCAACGGAATCTCCGGCCAAGCTGATGGTGTTGTGAAGAATGGCAACTCTGTAAGTTCAAACCTTAATAAAATGTCTATGAAACTGATCGATTGAATAAGATGAAATAGCAATGCGATTATTTACTTATTTTTATATATATAATAAACTAAAACAGAACATAACTATAGCCATCGGGAGACTTTGTACAAAAGTCGATTGCTTGCTCTGTCCCATTCGAAGCATTCCATTCCCAGTGAAGCAGTTGTCGTTGCATGGCTGTGTTTCGGTTTGAAGAGTGGGATATGGCGTGAATTTGCTGGGTACAGAGGAATAACACCTGAGTCCTCAGGAATGGCAACGCATGGGGTATCATGAGCGAAACAGTATACTCTGTTATGTCCATGGTACTGCTCATATCTTTAGGCGACGGTTACCACTTTACATCAGGTGGATCGTCAGCTTATTTGCCAATCTAAGTTGTATAAAAAAAAATCCTCTGATTACAGTATTGAAAAAGAAAATCATCTTCAATTTTATTGTAGTTTTAGGTACACTATCGGGACTTAACGCGATGAAAAATTTTACAGGTAAACAGTTACACACCTATTTTTTTATTACCCACGTTTCTCGATAGTGTATTAAAAATATGTGTAAACAACGCGAAAGTTTAAAATTAATTATTAATGTAGTTCTGTTTGCACAACAAACAAAGCAAATTTATTTAAAATAAAATCTTACTGATATCTCACCAAACGTTCGTTTTCTATCATGTTATCTCTCATAACACAAGGGATCCTGGTTTAAGGATCAGGTGTTGTGTTTTAATGAGGAAATAAGTAACATTTAATTGGTGCGTAAATAATTTATGTTCCAATCACTTCGAATTTTTTCAATCATTATAATTATTGGAATATGATTTTCATATTTTAATAATATTGTTAATAGTATTATAACAACTCACAACTTTGCCAAGGCCAATAACAGAAATAATAAATTAATAGAAAAATATAAATTTAATTAGATATTTTATTATATATCAGTATTAGTATCAAAGTATCAAAATAAGATATCTACTAAAATATTAGAGTATTTTTTAATGTTAAAAATATTATGTTTTATTTCATTACTTTTTATTATTAATAATAATTGAAACATTCTATAAATTCCGTCAAAAAATTTCACAATTAGAATGAGTTTCTTCTATAAAATCCATTAATGTTAAAAGATTAGGAATAGAACATACGAAAATCCTCAAATCGTGACTTTTGGACGAAGTGGGAAAAAGATTTTGTATTGAGTCGGATTTTTAGTATACTCGTACTAAGCACGTGTATTGATAATCTTTTTTGTTTATTATGTTTATTGAATATTAAAAATCTAATATCCCTACATTATTCGTAATTCATTAAAATTTATTAACATAATATCTATATTATGAATAGAATTTAATTTTCTGCTTTATTTGCTTGAGTACCCAAGTAACATATTGTTTCAAGGAGTACAGGTAACTGTGCAAGCTTTGAGCATATTACATATTTGCCAAACTTTGTGTTCTGACAAAGTTCAATTCCAAACAAACTTCTAAGCTCGTATTAAATCGCAGTAATGAGTACCGCATAACTTAATTGCAACCGTGAACACGTCTTTACCAGAGGTAAAGTCGCGTTTAGCTATCAGGTTAGTATGTTGTTGTAACATACGTACATACAAGTTAGGTAAATATAGATTTTATACAAATGAACTAAGACACGACCTATCTATGTTTTTATGGCATATACCTGATTTGAATTTCGTTATTACGTTTCATTATTAGGTTAGCTACAAATAATATGTACATACATAAACATTATTTAAATGGTGGTTTTATATATACAAATAAACTAAGGCACGTTCTTTTTTATTTTTTTTTTTATTTTTACAAGTTTTTATTTAACTTACCTTAGTATAAGTATGTGTACTACATACTCGTTCCGTTAAAAATTTTGATCTCGATCTATTTTTTAACCGCTTGTTGTCGTCCGATTTTGCTGAAATTTGGCATATTTATGTAAATTCGCGGACATTATTATCGTCGAACTAGAATATGAAAATGGAAGATGGCAATATAACTTTATAAACCACGCATGATATATTCATCATATTTTGGTTCGTTTGATTTGTTTCGTCAAAAACTATAACCTTGTATAGTGCCCAAAGTGTGGATTTGAAGCTATAAAAGCTTATTTGTAAACAGTCTTGTTTATATATGTATTATATGTTATTATGAAAAAGAGAGATAATGTTTGCATCACATATTAGTTTAGAGAAAAATAACAGCGTCTTAATATAAATTTGGTAGAAGTGCAACAATATGACACATTTGGCAGCAAGGTTGTATGTTTGTGGAATTTTTTATAGTTGGTGATTCAAACAAGGCATCTATCATCTATCGATCTCGATTTTTTTAGCTAGAACATATACTAAAGATAGTACCTGCAGTTTTAAGTCTAGAATAATGCACTCGTATTTCTTAAACTTTAGTGATAGTCTAGATATCATATAAACGAGAACGAATAAAACTGTTTTTCTTTTGATGTACATTTATCAAGGTAGGATCACCTTGGTGATTCTGATTTAATAAGTTAGGAAAAATACAATTTGTAAATGCTGTTAAATGGTCTGATCACTAAGCATTAAATCAATTTAAAAATTTTTCATTACCTATAATAAAATAAAAATTACCTACCTTACCTATAATACATTAATAATTCTATAATACAATATTCTAACCCAATCCCCTTAATTTTATATAATGATATTGTTTATTATTTATTTTATTATTGCACCTAACATTTATATTACAAACATTAAAATTTCAATACTTTTCAAACATTCATTATCAATTATAAAAGTATCAATAAATAAAAGTATCATTACCATTAGAAATAAGTATATACTAATACTGGATACTAATCCTTTTAAGAGATGGGTCCATCTGTGTACCTTATAATTTTTTTTAAACTGATATTTGTATTAAATATGAATGTACAATAAAGCTTATACAAAGAAATAAACAAATTAACAATGAATACTAATATTATCAAAAATATAAAGCTAACCAAGTATTGGCCAAAGAATAGATTCCAAGAAAAATATAAATAATATACAATAATATATTAAAAAGAAAATTGTAATCGTCAATATTAAAAATGTTAGAGAAGTCAATCTTTTAATACTTAATGAACAAAAAATTTTAAACAAATTTAATTAATATTTTCATAAAAGAAACTTGTTTAATTACAATTAATATTTTAATAAAGTTAATTATTAGTCTGAAACGGCGGAATCAAAGAAGATCCTAAAGTAAAGATTTAATTTATATTTTCAAATTGGTAATTTATTATTTATTCATTCGACTAGTACAGTTAAGTTAGTAGTCGAATATTTAGAAAAAGAAAATTGTACATTGATATATGTATTACATAGACTTTATAATATAACTGTTCTAATCTCACGGAACTTCTAAATTTGAAACAACAATTAAGTTATTACAGCAAACTAGAGAAGTCACACTTTATTTAAAAAATAGTAACTCGAAGAGCTTTTGTATGTTTTTATTTCTTGTAATTCATATTTTACGTCCGAGTTCATAGGTTTTTACATCTAACACTATCAAGGTTATGATGTTAATAATGTCTAAACATTGTATTGGATGTGACATTTAATATGCTCTTTAGATCATGCAATATTTTGACATATTGCACTATCCAAACATGCCTTGCTTACATAATTTTACACGGGTTCAGCATAATCACAGTTTGATACCTATGCATGCAAACATAATAATGTTGCATTAACAATAGTTTCAACTTTTAACAGACTAAGTTACCTTATAAGTTTTATTATTGCATAATTTTATGATGCCTTGTGATTCTAATTATTTTTTCTTATTTTATTATTATATAATTATTTTATTATACTAATACTATGAAAAAGAAAGATTTCATTAAATAAATATAATAAATAAATAATCTTTATTTACTACTCACAAGGAATATTGTACATTGTATGACTATTTAGTGTTTTAACTTAAAATTATTATCCTTGTGAGAGTCTGGAGTTTGAACTAGGTCGAAACCTGTACTACAGATCTACAGGCTCTCTTCGGAGTTTTACAATATATTACTGAACATCTACATTATTATATCAATACAAATATTGTGAGGTAGGTATTCTTGGTATTTATTATATTTTAAAGACGAATGTATGAAGAATGTGTTATACAGACACCTAACACACACCTAACACACACCTACTCACACCTACTTAGACACCTATAGAAAGCTACACTATCAACGAATAATATAGGCTATAAATTATTTTCAATTATTCTGTCTACCCGTACGATGTCAGACCGGATCACTAGTATTTTATTATTCTTATTCAAATTATTTCATTCATATTAAAGCTCTTTTAATTATATTTTAAATACACCATAAGTACATTTTTATATATTAATTAAATGTTTTACTCCAAATATGTACATTTCGCAAGATGAAGGGTCTATTAACTGGTCTTTTAATGCGATGTTAAGACTTAAGAGTTTCAAAGTCATTGACTTAATTATTTAAAGTATGTTAATTAATATTATATTTGGTGTCTACCTAATTTATTTAAATGTATACATTTAATTTTATAATAGATTTCATGGAATTATATTCACGCATTGACCACGTGGTGAAGAATATTATGTTACTAGGTGATGCAAAAAAAGGATCCACACCGATCAAAATATCAAGTTTTGATTCGCGACGATTCTGTTTTTGGCTATTAATATCCAGTAGTATCTGTAGAATAATAAATTTAGTAAAATAGTAGAGTTTATTTATTTTTAGGCTTTAAAAATCATATAATTATAAATAGAGATTTGATGAAAATAGAAGAGAATATAGATTAGTATACATAAATATATACCTACATCTATGCATAAACCTACATATACATACACATATACATACAATATACCTACACATATAGATAAATAAATATATGTTCATAGAGATTGCTCTTTAAGTCTACTCTTAAAAATATTTAGGGATTGACTCTCACGGATAGATATGGGAAGAGAATTCCACAATCTAGCAGCATGGACGGTAAAAGATCCACTATAGCGCGTAGATGAGTGTGAAGGGAGTTTGAGGATAAGAGATTTCGTCGAACGGGAGGACACGTCATGGGGAACTAGAAAATCAAAACGTTCACGAAGATAGGAGGGAAAAGTAGGGTTATATAGAACGGAATATAAAAACGACATTATATGAAAGTCTCGACGCCTTCGAATTGGCAGCCAATTCAATTTTGTTCTATAAGCGGAGACATGATCATATTTACGCAGACCATATATGAAACGTATACACAAATTCTGTAATCTCTCTAATTTGTTTAAAAGCTAGTTGCATCAAGGTAGGATATGTCGGCATAATCAAGAAGAGATAACAGTAGAGCTTGTGCCAAAGTAAGCCTTGTCTTAAATGGTAAAATTTTTGCAATCGTTTAAAAGAATGAAATGAAAAACATAGCTTTTTGCTGACCCCATAAATGTGTTCATTCCAGGATAAATTGCAATCAATTATAACACCTAGGTTTTTTGCTTTCTTAGCATATGCAATTAACTCATTTTCATAGTAAACAGGAGGCAAAGCATCATGATCAAGCATTTTATAATTACGATGACTACCTATAATGAGAGCTTGGGATTTTCGCGGGTTAACTAGAAGCCCAAAGGATCTAGCCCATTCCGATATTTTAAGCAGCTGAAAATTCATATCATCAATTGCTTCAGATATGTCGCAAAGATTAAAATGAAAATATAATTGCAAATCGTCTGCGTAGAGATGGTAGGAAGAAAAAATTACATGAGTTATAGCATTGATAAATGCAGAGAAAAGAAGAGGAGATAATACGCCGCCTTGAGGGACTCTTGCAGTAACCGCACACCAATCTGAGGTATCCTCACCATGGCGAACACACTGCAGTCGACCCCGAAGATAAGAGTTAAACCAATTGATTACAGGTGGAGATATGTTACTAGTTCTTTGAAGAGTATTAGGGATTAAGCAAAATGTATGGATAGTGGTAGCGAGTTCCATAGACACAGTCTGATTAGTACTTTTAAATTCTAGTTTTTATTTTAATTTGTTTAAGCTTTATGCTTTCACTTTCTTGTAAGGTCGTTAAGTATCATATCAAGAACTGATATACCAGCAAATACTTCCAAACTTACCATCAACCACATCTTGCTTATTATCCTTATTTATTTTCGTAACAATGAATTTTAGTATGCCTTTAAACTATTTCAATAATTATGAAATGATTTTATAAATTGATATTTTTTTGAAAATATTATATATATTTGCAGTTGAAAAATTTATTAGTATTTTAGATTATGTCTAATACAAATATTTGGGGGTAAAAGGGATTGTTAGTAATGGAGACTAAGAATCCCATTGCTAGCAATATATCCAACCAGGTCGACCTCCTCGCGGTTCCCCCTGGAAACTATCATGATTAATTCCTGACGAATTCATCATGATGGGCTAACTGGCCTATTTTTATCCTCATCGATCACCCTTCACTGGTGCCCCGCCAGCGTATCCTATTAGCGCAGGCGGAGTTACCACTCCATTTTCATACAATAAAAAAAATACAAATATTTATTTACTGGCGTATTAAATTAATAAACATTTATAAAATATAATTAAGCAATATTTTCCTTTTTCAGGACAACCCCGCTCTCGAAATTAGGGGAGGAGTACGATACACGGCTCCCGATGGCACCCCAATTGACTTAACCTACGTTGCTAACGAGGAAGGCTACCAACCCCAGGTTAGTTTTCTTAGATATTTAATAGGAGTATGCTTACTATATTAAGATCTTTATATAATTATTTATTATAATTGTTTACTTATATTTATCTTTATATACATTCAAACAGATATCCTAGTGAAACATTTAAGAAAAGAGCATTTCTTTCTAAAAGAACGGCAAAATAAAATGAATTTCTCAGATGTTGCAGTGTTCATAATTAATTAATTAAAAATATAAACTCTGAAATTTATATAAACATCTGAAAAATTAAATTTGGGGTTTATGCGTCACTGTATAAAAAATGCTGGAAATATAAGCTTGCTGTATGCAGCTACGCAATGCAGTATTATTTGACTGGAAAGTATTATTTCAAGAAGAGTAGACTTCCTCACATCGTTATCATCTTACCTTTATTTCAGATGATATTGTCTTGAAACAAAATGAATTTATTTGCATTAAATAATCTTAAATTATTGAAGTAGGCCAGTAGTATAATGTAGCGTCTTTCTGTTACATTGATACCTAACATACCCGTCAAACTAGAGCGCATTCGTTTTTCATGCATAATATTTTTCATACAGTTCATCCAGTATTTCTTTGATTATCCTTCCCTTGACATTTATCCATTTTTATATTAAACACCTTCTTTAAAAATTTTCGAGGTCTTAAAACGTATTACAATTACTCCGGTGAAGCAATTGTTGAAAATTAAAATAACTTGTTCTGTTTCAAATTTTCTTGCGATTAAATTGGTTAAATATTGTTAGCCAGCTCAGATTTCCCTAGAGTCATAGTCAATGTTCTACGTTTTATATTAATTTTATTCAACTTTTCTCCTTTCTTTCACTGTTATTAAGATTTTATTATGCACTTGTGTGAGATATAAAAGGTAAATAAATTTAAGTTTTTGTTATATAACAAACAACGACTTGTGACCTTAGATTTTATAGAAAGTCTCCATACCAACGCTTCACCAAAAACAGATCAACTTTTTTATCCATGTGTGCGTAAATAGGGTTGCTATAATGTACAATATACACCCGTATACAGAATACAGTATACCGGTGAAATTATATTGTAAAGTTAAATTGAAAAATAAATATGATACAAGTTTCAAGCGAATATGTTAGAAAGAAACAGTGCATAATGTTTCGTAATCTTTACTGAACGATGATTTTGTCTATCGACATAAAATAAGTTATTGTTTTTAAATTATTAAAAATGGCCTCCATTTTTATCAATATATGTATAATAATTTGTAAGCAATACATATGCATGTTCATATTATATCAAAAAATAGCCAATACAAATTAAAAAAATCGTCCTGATTTGGAAATTGTTTTTATCCTTAAATTTTAATTACATGCAACACTGAAAAAAGCGCATTTTGTTTTGATTAAAAAAATATATATAAATTTCAAATTAGCTAATTAAATAATGCCCTGTTTTTTGACACTCAATGTTTTATCTAAATAAATAAATAGATATGTTTTTTTAGATAAGTAGTTTTTTTACATAAGTAGTTTTTTTACATAAATTTTATAATTAGATCGTGACATATTCAAAATTAAAAATTTTGTTATTACTGAAATTATACTGATTTTTTTAATTGAACCCGTTTGGCATTCATATTATATTGAAATTTCTTTTGACGTCATGCAGCTAATGTAAAATTTATTTTTGGTAGCTACATCAAAATCTCAAAATTTAAATAAAGAATGCTTTTAAGATCTCATATATTTTTTTTAAGTTAAAGTGTGTATTCAAGTGTATACAAGTGTATACTTGACTTTGAGAAACTGATGAATTAAATTAGATATATAATATTTTTTTAAGTTAATGTTTTAAATATTTATTGGAAATAATGTATTTGAAGTTCAAACATAAATTTGAGTATTTAAAGTTATTGGGGCTATTACTAGTATATAATATTAAGTACATAAAAAATAAAAATGCCCACAAATTTTTATTATTATTTATAGACATACTTATTAGTTTTTACTTCACGATAAGTTATTATTGAATAGTAAATTTATGACGTATGATTTTTTATTTTAAGTTAACTATATTTGAGTAAATTTTTTAAAACAGAAAGTTTCAATATCGTATTTGCTCCTGGGAGTTGATTTAATAATTTGGTTATCATGGAAAAAAGAGATTACAGAAACGCACGATGGAGGACCGCCACACATCCAGATAGACAAAATGGAATTTTAATTATAAAATTTAAAAAAAAAGTTTAATTTATGTTGTGTTATACAGGGCAGCCATATTCCGGTCCCCCCTCCAATTCCAGAGGCCATCCAGCGCAGTTTGGATTACATCGCAGCCCATCCACCACCAGTTGACCGCAGGCTCGTCTAACAATTTATAATTAAGTATAAGTATTTAGTTTTCATATATTACTATAATAACAACAGCACACAATTGGATTTGTATAGCGTTGATTATGTTTAAATAAATACAAACAAAACAATTACATCTGCCTGTTTATTTATATTTATTACATTTTAATAGCAGGCAACAGACTGGTCTTGTAACTTGAAGAATCGACAATTGATGGAGCAGAAAGAGTCTTTAAAAAGCATGAGTCTCAAAAAAGAGCAAAAGATGAAGCAAGAGGTTAAAAGGTGTGGCAAGGAATCAATGGATGTAGATAGATCAGGATCTCACTCAGGATCACACGCCTCAACCATAAACTTTCATAAGGTGTTTCTTGTTTCTGTGTTCAGCAGCGGACAATAAATGATTAAAATGTTACTGATAATCGTCATTCTTATCATATCAGCTTTTAGTTGCCCACTGCTGAACATAAGCGTCCCCCTTGAGGGGTTTTGCCTGTAGTTACTACGCTTGGCACGCTTGGGGGAGGCTAGTTCAGCAAATTGGCTAGTTTTGCTAGTTACTACGCTTGGCAGGCAAATTGGCCACCACAGTTAGGCTAACTGCGGTCGCCTGCCCCTACAAGGGGGAGGCTTATGTTCAGCATTGGGCAGTTAAAGGCTTGGGGAGTTTTGCCAGTAGTTACCACGCTTAGCAGGCGAATTGGCAACCGCAGTTAGGCTATACAAATGTTTTAAGAGGGACGTTGCTGCTCATCCCTCGCTCTCCCTTGGTCGACTCCTACGACACTCACGGGACCTACACGGCTACAGAACAATAATAGCATATAATCATAGATTAAAAAGAGTATCATTTTGTTTCTACGCATTTAATCGTTTCACATCTGTAAATTTATTTATTTTTTTATTATTAGATTTTATTAATTTACAATTATAAATTGACAAAAATCCTATATATAACACATTATACAGAACGTTCAAGATTTCCAGTTAAATAATTTGAATTCACGTCAAACATGTCAGTATGCAGATTATTCGACCAATACGAATAGAAACAACGACTTTAATTATGACTATAATAAAGTGCGTAAAAATAGGCGAGGAAGATTTCATCAGGCCCTTTGATTGATTTATTACCAAGTGGTTTTTTGCGCATTTGTGTGTTGTAGGTATATGTATATAATTTTGACAGATTCGCTGAAGTGACTCACCAAATAGATAGTACATAATAACCTCGGCGTATATATGTATGTGAATCATGAATATTAAAGAATATTATAAAAATAAAACCTTTTTATTTTCAGAGAATAATAATCCATATAGGTGATTAACAAAAACCTACAAATTATCTTAGTGGAGATATAAGGCTGTAATGTAATACGGTAATTCAGCCCACCATAATTTTATTATCTCGTACTCAGAACGCGCTATTCGTTGAACCTTTAGAGGACCTCCAAGTCCAACCTCCATGATCTTGTTTCTGCTGCCCTCTCACTTTGCATACTAATGATATTACCATTTAGCGCATGATTTCGTAGAAATCGTCCATAGCAGAATCTGCGAACATGTCAGATGCGCAACAGAAGCCTATGAATCTATTTTAGTGCGATGCGTGTAGTTTATTTTCAGGAATGGTCCTGAAAACTAAATTGTTATGTTTTGATTACACCAATTTGAATTATAGCCGTGAATAGTTATAATAAGTCAGTTAATTATGAATATTATTAGTTCAGTAGGTTTTCTCTGTCTACCTTGTAAAAGACCTAGTGTGAAGACAAATAGTGTAACGGAACGGATTGCTAAACAGTAGCAGCAACGCAGTCAATCAACTACACTGAGTTGGTTTTTCAGTCCTCTCTCTGCTTATTAATGTATGCATGCGAAGTCACGAGTACAGTCAATTATAAATATTTCCGTTTATATTTTATCAACTATCCCCTAACCGTTGGAAGAGAATGTTAGTAATGGGGTCTAACTGACCCATTGTCAGTAATATACCCTCATATCAGGTCGACCTTCACGTGGTTCCCTCTTGAAACTACGAGTATCGTAGGTAATTCTAGTGGAATTCGTCACGATGAGTTAACTGACCTGTTTTCATCGTTACCTATCATCAGTTACAGACTCGCCAGCGTATATCGATAGCGCAGGCGGGGTACTATTCCATTATCATCCATTAGAAAAACAAAAACTATCCCCTAACCAGTCTCTAAGCAACTTTTATGTTAATTATTAATTTAAATAACTTTATTAACCAAATTAAAATAAGGTACAAAAGGCGGACTTAATGTTAGTAGCATTCTCTACCTTTGGGATGAACGGTGGCTCACTGTATCTCTTCTGTGATTACCATATAAAAGTGTGTTTGTCACGTTTAGCCTGTGTAATAGGGTTAATGTGCATACAGAGCTTCTGTAATAATGATAGATATAATAATAATATAGTTATAGCAGTGTATTAATAATATTAGTACTTCAATGGTAGTTTAGACGTTACGTTTTGGTTATAAGCTACTGTTCTGTATTACCGTAGTTTCTAGAATTGTCCTGAGGTTATAACATTATCAGTATCCGTGGGCGGATGCGATTGAAATATTAACAAGGAATTTGCATATAGTTTTAAACTTGTGACATCATCATACAATTCTCCGACATATGTAGTGACATAAGTGACAGTATATAAATAATGTAAATATAATATATTATTTCTATATCAGTCGTGTGTTTCTGGTATAGAATAGGCCACCCCTTTAAGTGTCGTAAGAGATGATTAAGGGAGGACGAGGGATGGGCAGTAGCATCTTTCTTAAAACATCTCCAAAGCCTAACTGTGATTGTCAATAACGGTTGAACATAGGCCTTCCTCATAAGGGGAGTTTTGCCAGTAGTTGCCATGCTTGGCAGGCGGATTGCCAACCGTATTTAGGCTTATGATGAAGTTTTAAGAAGGACGCTGCTATCCATTCCATGACTATTGATTACTCTTAGTCGCCTATTACGACATTCACGGGAAAAGAAGGGGTGGCCCATTCTATGCTGTGACCACACGGTATAATATATAACATAATGTAGTATTAATATAAAAATAAAATAAACTTTGATGGTGTTCAGAAGTAGATAGGTATTTGTCGATTGTTTTAATTATGGTGAACATAAAGCTTTAAATACGGGTACCTCAGGTCCACTCATATTTCAGCTATGCTTGCATGGCTGTGAAATTACAGGATATTAAAGCAATATACCATAGCCCTTAGAAATAGCAACGCATAAGGGGTATTATGGGTACAGTATAGTATATTTTGCAATATTTATGGTGTAATTTATATAGGCGACGGTTTCTATTTTCCATCAGGTGGACTATCAGCTTATTTGGAATTACATGTTGCATAAAATAAATAAATATTATTGACAATGTTCTGGGTATTTGGATTCTGACTAGTGGTATCAGAGCAGCCGAATAGTCAAGTTTAAAGCAATAATGGGTGTCTTCTAATGATATAGAAATGAAATGGTAACCTCGGCTTTCAGTACGTAATGGCGGAATATTAGTGAAGGATGGTAAGTAAGAATTAGGCCAGGTCAATCGGTCTGATGATGATTTATGCCCGTCGTGATTAATTTATTAGAAATGAACCATGATGATTTTAAGAGAGAACTACGTGGAAGTATTTGATACTGTACATTACTAGCATTAGGCCTTTTTAAACCTTATTACTAATAATCTCTTTAATAAATGAAGTGTATCTTGTACCATTATAGTAACTGAATAACGTCCCATAACTGAACACTTCTTTTTGTCTATAAATGTAAAATTATATGTATAATTTATCGATTCCTTTATATGTGTATGTATGAATATATGAATGTATGTATATTTTAGTATCTGTATAATAGTGCACCGCCTACCCTTTTACTTTTTCCTTAATGTTCTGAACCCAGAAGTTGTGTGGGACAGATTATTTAGCGATAAGGCAACCTTTTGTATTATTTCTTATAAAACTGTATTAATAGGTAAATATTTATCCAATAATTTTAGAAGAAAATATTAAGTTTAAATACTCATATATTAACTTGATAACTGCCATATTAGTATGGGACGCTTAAGATCATCTGAAAATATTTAAATCTGTCCTAATGACCTAAATGCAGGGTCATGTGGGAGTTCTAAATTATTAATGGATATAAAATATCTTCCGACAGCTCGAACCCACATCTCTCTGCTATCCAGGCTGAGTGTATTTCCAGTTACACCACAGAAGGAATATTCTCTCAATCGGCATTCTTTTAGTCTATTAATGTTCCTAAAGTTTTTAGATCATTGCTTTTGTTTGAAAAAATGTGTTTAATTTCACAGAAAGAATATTCCCTAAAAAAGATGTAAGTGAGATCAATTTAATAATATGTATTAAATATATTACATTAAAATTAAGTAAATGGCATTTGTAAGATAGCAGGCCCAATATGGACACGCAAAGCAAAGAACAAGGCAGAATGGAAATCTTTAGAGAAGGCCTTTGTCGCAAGGCAAGCTGTATCGAATTGACGACCGTTTATCGATAATATCAACATAAATTAGCAATATTAGTTTTAGTCATTTTCATATAGTAGCTTAATAATTATGTAGAAATAAGTACAGCTTTAAAGGCTTTTTTATATTAATTTTAGTTTTTATTTTTATTTACTTATTGTATTATTAAATTAGTTAATTTTAGTTCAAAAGAGAGCATTGACATGAGACGTGCCTAAATGCATTTATTAATATAAATTGTAAGTTTTGATGATAAACAATCTCAAAGTTACTAAAGCTTAAGGTATTATTAAGTCAACAATTCGACTCGAATCAAACGGAATTGAATTGAATGAAATATAATGAAAATAAAATTGATTAAAGCTTATACCCATTAGCGTATGAGTATTTAAGATCATTTTCGAGGAAGTCTGGCTCTTTAAATAGGCGTGTTATATATTTTCAAATATGCTTTTGCGCATAGTTAAAAGCTCCGCTTGCATCTTGAGGTAGACAACACGTGATTCTGGAATGGGCATAAATTAAATAAGCCTATGCTTATATCAGAGTCTAAAGAACACTGTCCTACTTTATTTATCTTTCCTCTTCTTTATGTGTGCATTGCGCTCATTTTTTCTAGACGGGTAACCTCCCAAGAACAGTTACAAGTTTTCTTAGACGAGGGTAGTAACTTCCCATGAGGTGAATCGTCAGGACGTTTGCCTTCCTAATAATAAAAAAATAGTAGGATAACATTCAAATCTAGATAAAACAATGCATCCCAAATGGTCATTTAAGTATTCGGTACATACCATAGACTATGGACTACTGGATACATCAATTACGATTACATTTTTGTTAGAATTAAGTACCAACTGCCAGAACCTTTTAGAGAGGTTATGACGTCAGGTCTGAATTACATATGGTAATACTTTGCCATGTGGTCCCGACATGAAATGGGCTACCCCTTTCTTTTTCGTGGGTGTTGTAAGAGGTGACTCAAAGGAAGGGCAGCAGCGTCCTTTTTAAAACATCACCAAAGCCTAAATGCAGTTGGCAACTGACTTGCCAAACTTGCCAACTCCCAATAGGAGAAGGCCTATGTTCAACAGTGGAGAGTAACGGCTGATAATGATATCATCACCATGAGATAATGCTGTATTTTAATTATGTTAGTATTTTTTATCTTTACCTAGTAGTGGATAAGAATAACGAGTACTGGGTATTCCTTATTTTTATTCCGCTGTCATAGTAACAAACGAGACTAGACTTTTTAATTAACACAAAATTACTTATATGTCATACTAACTTAGGAGTAACATAAACTTTTTTAATTAAAAAAGTAACCATTAAAATCAGTTCAGCATTGATAAAGTGAATTAGTTAATATAAAAAATTGGTTTTATTTGGACAAAAAAAAAACTAGTGTAAATAACCGTTGAAAATTACTTAAACGGCGAAACCGGTCAGGTAATTATCATAATACCTTTTTGTGGCAGAGTACACGTGTTTTTCTAATAATAGCAATATAATAAAAATCAAACAAATTGAAAATCTTGTTCTTTTTAATTAATTTTAAATTATATCTTCATACAAAAGAGGGGTCAAGCTTATTTGATGACTTATCAATGGATTCTGATAAACTTTTAAATTCGATTATTACCTACTAGATTATAAAGATCATTGGATTTTTAATAAAAAAAAATGTGTTTTAATTTTGACATTTCAACGTATAAGATTTGTTTATATTTTTTTTTTATAAATTGGAATAGCGATAGAGCTGCGGGCTCACCTGATCAAAATTAGCTTTATGAACACGATTAGCAGCATGGATATTATATTCCACACTGTGATGTCTATCTTGCCGTGTGGTTCCGGCATAGAATAGGCCACCTCTTGTTTTTCCGTGGACGTCGTAAGAGGCGACTAAGGAAGCGTAATGGTCGAGGGATGGGTAGCGGCATCTGTCTTAAAACGTCAAGTTCCCTCTAGAAATTATCGTGATTAATTCCATTTTTAATTATTAAAAAAAATTCTTTATCACACTCTCCAAACTAAATTATAGCCATGCAAGATTGGAAGCACAGGCAGAAACAACGAGTATAGTGTAAATTCGTGACTACGATTTCTGCTACAATTGTTTGTTTTGGTCATTTTAACTTTAAACCAGCATAGAATTATTTAAATCTCAGTATGTAAATACGACACATTCTCAATTGCTTTTATTTTAATCCGATCAAATCCGACCATTGATACTGAAAATAATATTATAGTAATTTTTCCTTATCCTGTTGACTCTCTAATGTGTTCGTTAAGGATCGCATGAATTTTATATTCAATAAACTTAGTCATAATTCGTCGATTCATATGCAAGGTCTCCATTCACATATTAGTTACAAATTTAAGGAAAAATTATACAGTAGCAAATTACACTACTGAGAATAAGATAATAAAAATACCCTTTTGTTTAATTCTACAATAAAATCATACAATCATTATTTTTTTTATACTTAAACGAGATATATCTAGCCGAGTTATATATAGTTTTTATTAGAATTTATTTATTTGCTTGTATTAGGTAAATTTTACACATATTACATCAGAAGGAAATTTTAGTCTATATCTTATTTGACACGATATAGGCGTGTCAATATTAAAATTTATTAGACGTAGTGGAAAATATTAATAGATTATTAAAAATTAACCTTGGTAATTAAATATTATTGTACTACATTGACGATAAATAAGCATCTTAATATGTCCTCGCTGCTCATATGCAATTTTTTAGGCTCATTTTGAAATCGAAATACTTACAATAAATTCTTAAAGAACAGTTCTCACTCTTTAGGAAAATCCTATGTTTTATTTTCACTCTAGATAAAAAGTAACCAGTTAAGGTTATATAATATGCCGTGTGGTCCTGGCATAGAATGGGCCATCCCTTCCTTTCTATAAAGCGACTAAGAGAACTCGGTCGAGGGATGAGCAGCAGCGTCTTTCTTAAAACATCACCAAAAGCGAAACTGCGGATGCCAACCCGCCTGCCAAGCATGGCAACTACTGGTAAAATCCCCTCAATGGTAAACTGCCATAAGGAACAGTAACAGTATATGGTGGAGGCATATGTTCAACAGTGGACAGATAACGGCTGTTATGATGATGATGATGAAGGTTATATATGATGGAATGATAATTAAATGGTGAACGCATCAATGCTATTGCTACACCAATGCTACTGGTATACGCTGGTAGAATATCATAGAGGGATGTTAGGTGACAATGGAAACAGTCAGTTGGCCCAACCTGACAAATTCACTGAGAATTAAAGATGATGGTTTTCAGGAGAAACCGTATGGTGGTCAACCTTACAAGATGTACTACTAACAATGGTACTGTTTTTTATTACTAACAATCCCCTTACCCCCTTTTTAAAAGTAAGGCTTGCTTTTATCATATCATTCTTATTGGAACTACGCGAATTTTAAGCATAGTCATTTAATGATATTAAGAAGATATAGAGAAATATAATCTAGCTCCAAAAAAAATGTCTAACCGAGTTCACCTTGTAAATAACTAAAATATCATATCGAACAGCGATGCGTCTTTGTTGCAAAATAATGTAAATGCCGATACAAGTGTAGAACCGTATTATGACGTTCTCGTTCGACTATAAAATGGCGAACGCGTATTTTATAATCACAGTTACACATCGTCTGTTAACTTTGACACACAAGATGGTGAGTGAAGATGTTGCGTCACTGAGCATTATAGAGATAACGATCGAATTGCAACGAGCAATGAACGCGACAAGTCTCAAGCGCAAATTCGAGTGATTCCGTTTTCGTATCTGTCATTGGACACCATTAGTTACAGACAGATTTAATTGTAATCCCCGTATTAGACTTGAGGCGTTGCCACAACGTCTCCTGTTACTCAAATACGGGAACGCTAAGTCCGGAACATTGAATATAGTCTTATGAAACTGAATTTTTTTATAATGTTAGATTTAAAATATCAGAGTTCAAAAGTTCATTAATTGTGGTTGTTGCAATTTGATCTCCGCGGCAAATATGATTTTAATATATAGATAATATAATTTTCCTTATTCATATTGTACCAGTTTCTTATTCTAGATACTCTTTCAAATGTATGGCAAACTGTAGGAACAATTTAGCAGAATATTTACTTTATTTATAACTATACCTATTTTTTATTATTAAAAGTTTTGTAAGTACATATTATACTTGTATTTTAATGTAATAATTACAGATTTAACTTACGTGTAATAATAGGTATATTACTCAGCTTTGCTCACATGTATTAATATATAAAGTATCTTATGTGCTAATTTAGGATATAGTCTGCTCGTGTAGCAAATTTTATTGAAATCCGTTCAGTAGTTTTTGCGTGAAAGAATAACAAACGTCCATCCTTCCATCCGTCCTTAGAAACTTTCGCATTTATAATATTAATAGAATTTATTATAAGAGTTAAAACATTCTTAAAGATTTACAAATAAGGATATGGTACTATTTATAAACATAATTTATTAGCATTGATGAGAAAAATACAAAAATTATTATAAAAATTCTACTTGAAAATTATTTAAAATTTGTGCATATAATTACAATAATTACATCAAAGCGAATCAATAAATAAAACAATTCATTAATTCCAACATATTGCAAAAAATATTTGCAAAATTATTAATTTAATTTATAGTAATATTTTATTGTAATTGTTAATACGAAATATTGATTAATATATTTTTATACTAATTTTTAATTCATTGAAATATATTATTAATTAATCATTATTTATTATGTCGACATTTCAGAAATCCTTCGTTGCCATTCTTGCCGTCGTGGCCGTCGTTGCCGCCGATGTCTCCCACATAGTTCGCAGCCCCGAAGCTGACGCTCAGGTCCTCCGTCAAGAGGCCGACGTCCTCCCAGACAGATACAGCTACTCATACGAAACTAGCAATGGCATTGCTGGCCAAGAAAGTGGACAATTGAAGAACGCTGGACGTGTAAGTAACTAGGTTTTAATTGCAGATGTACGTAGTAATAATACTTACACAAAATACATATCTATATTTCTAATACGGGAAATCATTATAAAAATGAATTATTTTACAGAAAGATTTTTATGCAAAAATATTTTTGAAAGGATAGGAATGGTTTTTATTTCAATTCTAATCTGATAACGAATAATTAAATGTTTTCAAATTTGAGTATACCTTATTCTCAATAAATCTAAAGACATTTTATTGTCTGATTTATCATAGTAATGTATAATACAAGAAAGTGGTTTTTTTATTGAACAAAATGAAATAGAAAATAGGAACGGCCTTATGATTTTTTTTTCATTTATACACAAACTAATAATGACAGAATAAAGAATAATATAGAATATTAATAAAAGAAAACATTGAGTAAATTTGCCACTAACACCGTTTACTAATGTTTCGATAAATTTAGTTCAAAGAACATGTGCTAAAGTATTATTGTTACTCAAGATAGATATATTTATACTAAAAACAAAAATATTGTGGCGATTCTTTGCTATTGGCTAATAATACGTAACATTTTGCATATCGAATGCATAGAATGGTTATTGGTTCAATCAAATGGCTGGTGTTTTCCATTCTTAAGGCAATAGTTTTATTTAAATAAGGCAAAATAGGTAAATAAGCGCATACGTGGGTGTAATTACGGTTACTACTTGTATTATTTACTTTAAAGTTAATATACGAGTATTGCGTAGTTGAGATAAACAAAAATGAATAAAAAATACTTAGTCCTTTTTAAAACATCACTAAAGCTTGATTGCAGTTGCCAATCCGTTTTCCAAGTGTGGCAACTACTGGCAAAAACTCCAAGAGGTAGGCTTATGTTTAGCAGTGGACGGTTAAGGGCTGATATGATGATGATGATGATGACCATAACAATTTAAATATTAAGCATCCGAATGCAACAAGAACCTTCGTCATTTGAGTATAAACTAGTAAAAGTCAATTAATAATTGTAACTAAATAATTGTAACTTCTTATCTGATATTCATAAAAAACGAGCATGTTAATTTAATTAAAATCAATCTTAGTATAACATTAATGTATCAACAAAATTATAAAATTATGCGAATTTTATTCAATACAAAAGTTCAATGAATATAATTAAATACATGTTCAGAATACTAATTATGTTCATTTAAAATATACAACGTCGATAGAAACACGTTTTATTATATAAAAATAATATAGTTTTGTATATAAATTCGTATAAAAACAAATAAGAATTGTATATATTAATATATAATAATAAAATATAGTATAATAATAATTATTGAATAATAATTAATATTATATATTTTATACTTCGGTGAAGATGCTGAAATTTAATATATATATAATTGATAAATAATATTTTATGTTATTTTTAAACTAATATTTAATTTTGAATATATTACGAATTAATAACAAAACAATTTATATTTATACATACTAGAATACTAGTCTTTGTCATGTTCTTCGTATTTATGGTAATAATTATATTTTTTTAGCGAAGTTTATGTACTTATATCTTATTAGATCTTGATTGTTACCCATATTTTTTTTATATGAAGGATAAATAGTTAATACTGAGGTAACTATTATTAACACTTGTATTATATAAACATTACATGATCGACACGATTCTTTGACCAAGGCCGCTTTTAACAGTAAATTTATTGTAGACATGCATTAGACGCAACAAAACAATGGAAGACGTCCGAATGGAATGACATTAAAATGGAGTTCCAGGCAAGATATGTTAATAAATTGGAGCCTTGATATTTCATTTAAGGTCATCCATTTACAAACTATTCAGAATTATATCAATTTATGTGATGATCTTAAAATCATGTGACTAACGACGTGGCCAGTGACCTTGCGCCTAAATAAATGCATAATTTATAATTTTATACGGAAGAGGTTTAAAATATTTTATTTGCTAAATTATTGATGATTTGATATGGAGTAATTTTATAACGTTGAATAAAATACAGTGTTAATCTATGAATATCAAAAGTTTCGCAATTAAATAAATGAAAGCAAATATAATAATATCAATAAAATTACAGCTAGTTTTTATAAAATTATACAATTAATATAGAATTTTCCTGCATTGCTCTAGCTTTTTAAGAGGAGAAGAAAAACATTCACTTTTTGAATTGAGAAGAGGCAGTTGTATTTTATTCTATAAATGTTCCAATTATTTATGTAATGGAGTAAAATATGTGAAAAAAAAAATAAAAATGTTATGCTTATATTTATATACCATATTTAATACAAATAAATTATTATTTTAAAGATAAATTCCAAATTTAAAACCCTAACAATTACGATTACAACCAAATAAAGTGTTTAAATGGCGATTATATTTTTTATTTATAGGAGGATGAGGCCATCGAAGTCCAAGGTTCCAACCAGTACACCGCCCCTGATGGCACTCCTATCCAGATCACCTACGTTGCCAACGAATTCGGTTACCAACCTCAGGTAAATATCTTTTCTCACACAGGGTTCAGCTAAGAATATTGTCATCATTGTCTCATGTTTTTTATACAATTTTGAGTGGCAAACAAGCTGACGGTCTATTATATGGTAAAATTGATAACCGTTGCGTATAGATTATAGACGTAAACAACACTATGGATTGTTGTTCTTGATGATTAATAATTAATTGAATTATCTTTCAATCCTTTTCAAAATTTTGCACTGTTTTGTTTGTGAATATTAGTCTGCAGTCCCTTTTTTGTAATATTTGGAAGAACTCTACTATATTTTATATCTGTTGACATTTTCTCGATAGGTAATAAATAAATAAATACTTTCTTCGAAACAAACAAAAAGTACCTAATTATATTTCTTATAAAATATCACTTAAAATGATAGTAATTATTATTTGCTATAAATATTAATATAATATTTTATAATTAATATTATACATATTTGATATTGGAATGGCAAGAGAATTTGAGTAGTTTTATATGTAAAGCACACCAGAGGGAGACATTGTATAAAAGTCGTTTGTAATATGTACCTACCTTATACATACCTTATAAATACCTATGTCCCATTCTTGATTCTGCCGTGAAGAAGTTATTTGTATGGCTGTGTTTTAGTTTCAAGAGTGAGATATGACAGTGAAATTACAGGGTATATCTTAGTCCTCGGGAATTTATAGAGTACAGAGGAATACCATCCGAGTACTCAGGAATAGCAACGCATTGGGGGGGGGGGGTATAATGGGCGAAAGAGTATACTCTGTTATGTCTATGGTACTGTTCATGTCTATAAGCGACAGTTACCACTTTCCATCACGTCAGCTGTTGGCTTGTTTGCTATTTTAAGTTCCAGAAAAAAAAAAAGAACAATTATATAATTATTTTTTTTTGTCCTAGGGCGCTCATCTTCCCACCACCCCTGCTCCTCAGCCAATCCCTGAATACATTCAGAGAGCAATTGCCTACATCGCCGCCAACCCACCCAGGCCTGAGCCTGTCAATCGCAGATTGTAGATTAGATAACTATGTTTTAAATTAAATAAGCCAAAACCACATACTCTTCAAAATTCTATGTAATACGTACTCCTTTACCTCTAGTCGCAATATGAAAATAAAATTACAGAATACGTACAATTTGTTTTATTAAATATTTCTACTTCTGTTTCACTGGCTATTACCCTTTACTTTACATATATGATCCACGTTGAAACTATTTTATTTATTTATTACAAAGATATTATACATATTGAAGGTTTTTAGTGTATATATATATGTATCGATTAAACAAACTAATTTACAATTACGATCTTGATCTTGACGGTCAGTTTATTACTAGGAGGATGGTGGTCAGAGATGTTGGCATAGAATTTGTTGAAAAGTTATCATTTAAAGAGCATTATAGTACATTGATTGCGAAGTCATCTAAACTTCTTGGTTTTATTGCTAGGGTCTCATTTGATTTTAAGAATCCTCATAGCCTTATTCTCTGCTCTTATACTATGGTACGAAGTATTCTTGAATACGGTTCTGTTATATGGTCACCTCGCTATAAATGCCATTTCGATAGAATTGAATATGTTCAGTGGAAATTCTTAAAAATTCTAAGTTATCGTAGTGGTTATGGGCGTGTTCTATCAAGTTATGAAAAGAGACTAGAACAATTTAATGTGACTCTCTTATCTACCAGACGAAAACAGATCGACTTACTTACTTTACACAAAATAGTTCATTACCATATCTACTCTCTACTTCTCTACTCTCTGCTTTGACCCTCAATATAAAAACTGTAACACGGAGTTCTAAAACATTTGCACTCTGCGTTTATAAGAACAATATATCGTATTATAACCCGCTCATCCGTATGTGTCCTACTTTTAATGAATTTTCAGCTAAATGTCCTCAAATTGATATCTTCAACTCACGTCTAAACACCTTCAAAATCATTTTACAATCAGCCATCAAGTCTCTTTGACATGTCCATATTTTTATGTATTTTTATTATTTGCATGTACTTCATTGTTATTTACCACATTCATATGTGATAAATAACAATGAAGTACATACATGCGCTTTCTTTATATAATTTATAATTTAACGTTGTTTGCTGACTGCTTTAACCATGCTGTGTGTACACCTGTCTGGGTCTCAATCTAGTTCAAACTATTATCTTTATATAAATGTTTATAATGTTATTGATTGTAACCTGTTGTGTATACCTTTTAATAAATAAAAAAAAGGAATAAAGACATGGTCAGTATTGTATGCAGAAATACATTACAAGACTACTTAGAAAACTACATTCACACAAAGATAAACAAGTCCCCAAGTGCCAACAATCATTAGCATACAAGCTCACAAGCGGTATCGAGCCCTTAAGTCTAAGGCAAGACTTTACCTCCTTTTATGCGTTTTACCGCTTGTATAATAAACTGTGACTTGAGAAATTATTTGAAATGATGCCCATAATCACTTTTTATAATCGCACCGTTCACTCATCGCATGCTAGACCCTAAACGGTCGCGTACAGTGCGATTTCAGAGGAGTTTCCTCCGCGAACGATTAACTTGAGCTTGAGATAAGCTCCATGCCGAGGTTTTCTTTTAGAGACTATATACAATATGACGTTTTTCAAAAAGAGTATATTAAGGTTTCTTCAGGGTAGGTAACGCGTTCTAGTGACCGTTTACAATCAGATGGGCTGTATGTTTGTTACCTACCTTAATGGTATAAGAAAAAAAAACATTAAAAATAACATTAAAAGCTTTACGCCACTGTATTTTACTTGAATTTTCTAATTATCATTGTATATTTTTGTCTTTTATGAAATATAAAGTTGAATAAAAGTGTTGATGGAATTTTTGTTCTGTTTATTTTTGATAATATACTTGCTGGAAGAGAACTTTTTTAGAGTTAAGCTCGCTATTGTATATTTGCTTACCTGTGTCATATTTTTATGTATTATTAGTGTATTCTATAATAATATATGTACAAATTTATTATACGTGACCTGTGTTTGTGACCTAAGTGACCTGTCTTTTCATTCTCACTTATTATTTTTCACTGGTGCCCCACCAGCGTATACCGTTATAGAAATGTAATTATATATATTAATAAATGCTTATTTAACAATAACTATATTTTTTTTTATTTTTCAGGGTAGCCATCTTCCCACTCCTCCACCGATTCCTGAGTACATCCAGAGATCTCTGGAATATACAAGAAATGTTGCCCCACCAACAAAAACTGGTGACAGATCATCAGACGGTATTGGTATACTGGCTATTGCTCAAAGATTAGGGTAGAGAAAAATAATAGAACCATATTAAATTTTGTGACAATTATTAAACAATTTGAAGAGAAATTATTTTTATTTTACCTACTTAAATATTTATACTTCTTCTTCTTATATAAGGCTTTCCTCTTGCTACGAGAGTAATCCATGCATTTTCTTCCAGACAACTATATTCTAGGCCATATCTTTGACCTCCTCATACGATATGACACCTAGTGTTTTATATAACAATAAATATTTATATTATATAATAAAATTACAACAAAACCTAAAAACAAAACTGTTTTTCTTACATTTCTTGAAAGTTGTAATGACAGTTGAATATAATAATCTACGTAAACTACACAGCAGCTTATATACATACATATAACCGATATAGTTGTATTATATAATACAAATTTTTACCAGCGACCAACAGTGTGACCGGGATACGATCACGGACTGGAATAAAAAGCCCTCTCCATTATTTATAGTACGTGTATACCAAATTTCATAGTGATTGATTAAACCGTTATAGTGCCAAAAGGTACCATTTACCAGAGGAAGATTTTGTACAAAGTCGCTTGCTTGGGAACCTCTATTTCATTCGGTTTAAAGGGTGGGTAGTGAATTTACAGGGTACAGAGGAATAACACCTAAGTCCTCAGGAACGGCAACGCATGGGGGGTATCATGGGCAAAACAGTATACTTATATCCACAGAACTGCTCATGTCCATAGGCAACGGTTACCACTTTCCATAAGGTGGGTCGTCAGCTTATTTGTCGTTTTAAGTTGCATAAAAAAAGGTAATAAACTAACAAATAATCTCATTTTGATATTTATAATATAGGATAATTTAACAAATTCGGTTATATGTATAATGAAAATTTCATATATATTTTTTTTTATAAGCGTACGTACAAAAATATTGATTGTTTAATAGAAGGTACTATCTAGGAAAAAAAGTCCGAAATAATTTCGCTCACTTTAGTTATTTGGTTTAATAATTAAGTATGTATGTTTCATAAAAAGTGCTGTAACCACGCAATGTAGCCATCAGTGAGCAAATTAAGAAAGTGGCCGGTATTTATTCATATTCATTGGCAGTGAAGTGCTATTTCATTAGAACATTAACACTATTTCAATTACTATTAGTTATTTTATCACGTACTTAGTAGATATATTTTTATATATTGAAATTAAATTTTTTTCCTTCTGCTATCTCCATTTGTACTTCTGTTGGCGATTACGCGCTTATTTTTATATTTAATACGCCATGTACAACTACTACATACCCTAGCCCTCTAGACAAGGGGAAAGGATTGTTAGTAATGCCAGTCTATCAGTGAGAACTACCAGTCTCATTGTTAGCAAAATATACCCTGTCAGGTCGACCTCTACGTGGTCCCTCCTGGAAACCATTGTGCTGAATTTCTAGTGTATTTATCACGAAGTGACCTGTCTTTTTATTCTCACCTATCATTCCTAACTGGTGCCCCGCCAGCGTATACCGTTAGCGCAGACGGAGTTACCATTTAATTATGATTCATTAAAAAAAACCCTCCAGACAAGTGGTAAGTGAACCCATCAATGGAACCATCATCGCTAGTAAATCTATGAGATAGAATGAGATGGCGACGTTTGAGATCTCCCTCCATTTTATGGACTCAGTAGTGATGATGATTCTATTGATGGATTACGAATCTAGCCACCCTAGGCATTGCCTAGGGTGGCTAGATCCGTAATACCTTTATCCTATATAGCATTGTAACTACCAGTTACTGGAATCTATAAATTCTTATACTAAAACCTGTGACAAAATAATTAGGCATAAACAAATTACGAAAAAAATAACTAAAACTAATAATTTGATTAATTTATAATGAATTTATGTAGCCTCGAAGATTTTCTATTTATTTATTTTTACTTTAAAACGTCATTGAAATCTAAATTCTGATGAACTCATAATCTGACGAACTCAACTATGTATCCATAGTTGAGTTCGTCTGATTATGCACTACTGTAAGTTCGATAATAAAACCTATGTATTATTACTTACAGTACTTGTACAGTATTTTTATCAAGTTTAAAGTAAAAATTTATTTTATAGCAGATATATGTTTCATAATGTCTATAATAGGTACATTATTCTCAAATTTAAATATTTTAGTGAAAACTGGAGATAAGGTCCGGTTTGTTTTATACAACTTAGAATGGCAAACAAGCTGACAGCCCACCTGATGGACATAACAGAGTATATTGTTTCGCCCATGATACCCCCCATGCGTTGCCATTCCAGAGGTCTCAGATATTATTTCTCTGTACCCTGTAAATTAACGCCATATCCCACCCTTCAAACCGAAACACAGCCATGCAAACACAACTGCTTTACGGTTGAAACACGAATGGGACAGAGTCACCCAAGTAAACGACTTTTGTACAAAGTCTCCCTCTGGTCAAAGAGAAAAAGAAACTACTGACAATTCTAACAGGATTTCTTATTAGATCTTACACGTGCCGTAAAGTTTATTTTGGAAATATATATTGCGATTTAAATTAATTTAATTCAATAATCCGAGATAGATTACTGTTAAATATTTGACAGTATTGCTTTATGTTCTGTAGAAATTAAATTCAGTAAATTATTTATGAGACTTTATTCAAAGGGATGTTCAAACAAAATGTACACTTTATAAAGCACAGATAGCAATGTTTTCGAATTCAATCGTTTGGAGAGTATTAAATATTAGTGATCTTATCATCTACTATATTTTTCGTGGCTTCACCTGCGCTATATTGTATTCTGCTGACACCGTGAGAAATATTAGACTATCAAGGTTGCATGATAAAGATCACTTTTA